AACCAGGTGGGCTCTGCCTTCTAAATGTGATAACCTGGGGAAGTCTGCGGTTTAGAGAGTAAACCGCAGATTCCTGTAGTAAAACACAGTTTTATAGTTTGCTATAAGCTATGCACACATGTGGAAGAAGATGAAACCAAAATTTAACACATGCATGGAGGAAAACTATTCTTTTCCCTATTTTGAAACCTGGTGGTGGTAGCATCACACTGCAGCACACATCGCATAGGCGCGGTTTGAGGAAATCTATTGTCATTTATTAGCTATAAGGTTAACACTATGTGACTTAAACAGGGCTGCAAGAAAGGAGATGGGGAGGGTGCACAGGAACAGGTGGAAGCAGCGCAGCAAACCCCAGAATGAAAAAAAGCTGACTCAGAGTGGACTATTGCATGTTACAGCTAATCACCCAGCAGGTTTAAGGTCTCATTAAGGTCATGATGAGCGACTATTACCTGAGCTAGAGTTAAAGTTAAATGAACTAGGTAAGGAAATAAACAGCAAGATGTGCTGCGTGCCACTAGCTGGATCTGCATCATGATCTGCAAAACATCTGGTTCTTTAGTTTAAACAATATAAAAACATTAAATCCTAAAGTAACTAATCACATTAAGATCACCGCAAAGCATCTCATTGCTGTAGCCAGTCCAATCATACTTGTGAACAGACATAAAAAGTGTTGCTAAATGGGAGATAAAAGACATCTGCGTAAAAAAATAAAAGAAATCTTCTGGTCCAAATTCAGCATAGTAGTAAATCCAAAACTAAGTAGTAAGTCCCCCTCTCTTTAGGATAATTTCTGTTCAGGCTCTTAACTAACAGCTCGTTTTAAAAGTGCATTAGTGTTAAGAAAGAAAATTTCTAAAGATTATTTTTGGTGCTACTGTGTTATTTTTCTGAATAATACTTTTAATTTTATACAAAAAATAAACCAAATAAAAAAGGATACAGTTTTTCTTTATATTTTATACAGTTAAAAACTTTACTATTAAAAATGATAGAAGAATAGAATAAGGAGTAGAAGAAATCCAGAAATGTCAAAGAGGAGGCTCTGGGATTTATTTTTAACACCACAGTTTTATATTATATTATATTATATTATATTATATTATATTATATTATATTATATTATATTATATTATATTATATTATATTATATTATATTATATTATATTATATTATATTATATTATATTATATTATATTAAATTATATTATATATCATTTTATTGCAAAATCTAGACTAGTGGCTCAGATGCTTAATGGAGAACCTCAGACAAAATGTTTTATTTATGGCTCTGAGAGGTGGCCTAATTACCCATTTCATTCACCTGCCTAACTCTGTCCAGGTTCCAATTAACATTCATCTAATTAAACTGCTTCTGCTTCTTTATTAGCTCCGTCCCAGCTTTCAGAGCCAGATCATTGAGTTTGTGCTTTCTGAGGTTGCTCATGCTCCCGTTCTTGGGGGCCAGAGGTGACAGAGGGTTTTACAGTGTTTCATAGTGTTCCTGTTTTCCTGATCATGTTCTGTTTCTTATCCACTGAGTGTACCCTGTTCCTGTTTTGGCTCAGTGGAGAGAGCCAGTTTTCAGCGTATTGTAGTTCCTGGTATCATGACCTGTTCTGCCTCTCTACTACTGGGCTTGTCTGTTCCAATCTGAATGTTCTTCCTGAACTCTCTGTTGGACTCCTGGACCTTTTAAACCTTCCTGTTCCGATCTGTTTCCCTGTTCTGGCTCAAACCCCTGCTTCTCCTTCAGGAATGCAGTATCTGGGAAACTCTGGGCGCCGCATCTTATTGGCAGCGCTCCGGCTGATTTCTACCATGTTCCATGAAGATGGACTGAACTGTAAAACCAGGTAAGTGATTCACATGGATAATCATCCTTCGTTAGATTATCATGCTCACTTACCTGTGTTTTTCTCCAAGAGTGTGTCCAGTGATGGGCAGTGTCCAGCCGCAGCCTCTGCAGATCCACAGCTCCGAACCTGTTATTTGTTTTTAATAAAACGTTTTGAATTATCCCGCTTTCTGGTTGGCCTGAATACTGGATCCTTCTGTCCCATTCCATGACAATTGAAAGTTTTGAATAGTCAAATGAAAGTAGTTTGTATATATGGACTGAATGACTGGAAATATTAAGGTACGACAGAAGAAGGTCAAGAGAGAAGTAACATATTCAGAAATCAGTTTAAAAATATGTTAAACAATCTCTCAGAATAAGTAATACAAATAATTTTTAGTTAACTTCTGACTTCTGGACTGTTGGAGAACTTGATGAATAAAGGATAGATGGGTGGGTGGAAGGAAGGATGGATGATAAATAGTAAACTGCCTGTACTTATATAGCACTTTTTGAAGTCAGAAGACTCGAGCAAAGCTCTTTACACTACATTTATTCATTCACTCACACACTGATGGTGGCAAGCTACATTGTAGCCACAGCTGTGCTGTTGCTCACTGACAGAAGCGAGGCTGCTGCATGCACCACCCTCTGACCACCATCATACATTTATTTATTTGTTATATTTATTTTGGTCACTTTTCTGATCACTTTAGTTTATTCTTTGTCAGTAT